GAAGTATTGTTCACAAATTCATGATGTGCAAACTGTGAATACTTAAACAAAAATCACTTTTTTGAACGCATGATCTCTGTGATTTAAAAATGAATTCACAAAGTCATAAATGCTACAATGGCTTTCTTTAACTTTCAAGAAGACAGAGCTAGGCCATGTTTTGGAGCAGCTGCACACACATAAACAACAATTGGATGCAATAATGTATAAACTCGACCAACATGAGTTACCATGCCTCTACAGGCTGCACACCGGTGTTATAATACCGGTACTTGGCTCACTACACGATGCTTGAACTTGAGATTTTCCGGCAGTTTCTGTTTTAAAGACCAACACTAAAATGAGCAGTCGAGTTCATCACAAGCCCCACAAGTCCCATGTCACATTCTCAGGCATGAGATTTTTTAGACTTTCATATGAAATCAGACTTTTTAATCTGAGAGAAAGACATTATCCGTATTGAAAGCAATACATCTCTCAGACCTTTCATCCTATTTTCAGACTTAAGTTGACAACCTCATCGGCTCATCCCTGCACATTCTAATGAACTGTGGCAAAGCTACACTGTAATTAAACACAACCTTGCTATCACTTTGTAAACATGTGTCCAATTCCTAAACCTCAAATGTTCAATGGCTAAACACTATCCATCCTTACTCTAAACATGCTTAGTACATTTGTATTTAAACATGTTTACAAACTGATAGCAAGAACAAGAAAGTGTTTAGAAAAGTGTTTAATTGCTAAGCACATTTTTTGCAGTGTATTCAAATGAATTGACCTATCGCGGTAGAATCGCGTTTTAACATCGCGTCAACACAGCTTGTAAATTATTGTCCAATTACATGATATACAAATGGACGCGGAATGCGCAAAATCTGAGACAAACGAAACTGCGAACGGCGATAGGTCAGTTGTGACGAAGGCAAAATATTCCGTTATTCTTCATATCTGTTGCTAAAAATATATGACCGGACAAGTTAATTGACTTGTGTTTTACATGTACTTGTGACTGGACTTGTGATTGACTCTACAACACTGCCAGAGGCATCTGCACTACCTAACTACGTGTCATGGGTTCGATTTCTGACCAAGTTACCTACTAGTTTTTTTTTCAGCCACGTTCCTCAAAGCACCAACCATCATTACATTTGTCACAGTAACACATGCTTGGCTAGGCAAAATTCAACGCAGTGTTTTAATGTCCGTTAATTTACATTATAAAAATATATCAACTATAATTCTCACAGTATGGACGATAAACCAATCGGATTTCTTTCCCAGGGAAAAGCCCACAAACTAACTCTGCAAAAATTCCAGACACAGTCGCCCAAAATTCCTGGCCAAAAAAGCCGCATTTGTACAAAAGAAAGATCATTTGTGATTTCCCCATTTTTGCCGTCCAACAAAAAATGGACAAAGTGTAAATTTGTGAACACAGATTTATCCTGGCAAATTTCACTGCAGACGTTTAATGACGTCAAAATGGCATTGAATTAACATTTGGTAATGTATGAAACCAGCCTGAACAAAATTAATGTGACCTTTCACCCTTAGCCTCTTGGAGGAACATGCACCAAGGAGCCTGATTGGCTGATGGTTATCCAATGGCGTGTTGTCTCATAACATCTGCAAACATCAACCTCTTTCCCAGTTTTCTCATAACAACTGCATCAACCTCACCAACCTTGTTCCTGGAAATGATTTCTATCACAATTATGTTCAATTGAGCTGTAACTTTTTCAATCATTTCAATTTAGAGTTTCAAAATTTGGATCGAGTATTACACATGTACTTTTCTTATGATACTGGATTATTGCAAGTTTTAAAAAGATGTCGGAGTTGTACAGAATTTAAAATTGAAAAGTATTCAGTACAGAATTAGTAACAAAATGAGGCCCAACGCATTTTCCTTTTTTTAAAGGAAATTTGATATGTAATCAAATTGGATTCGGAGGGAAATTACATAAAACAAGGACTATTTGAAAAACAGTTTCAAAGAAATAAAAGCGAATCCAAAGGATAGAGGTTGAACCACCTGTCAATCATAAAAACTCATTATAAACACTGGGGAAAAGGTTGACGTTTTCAACCACTTTGACCGCTTTACTGAAAAACTATTTCTTTTTTTCATCAAATTGATTCAATCATAAATAATTTAACCATGGGCATCACATACAATTGTCAGACATTTAAAATCAATATGCATAATTTTAATCAATCAAACTTGGTTTGTCTTCTTTTTTTTTTGCAAAAATATACAAGTTTTTTCATCACATTCACAGTACAAGATTATAATACATGTGCCCGTATTTTTTCCAACAATTGGAAGAATTTTCCATGGCAATGTGCTATTAAGCTACACTGGAAATAAATATATTACGTCACTCTCGGCAACGTAGGTGCAATTTAAAAATTACATGTATACATCTTTATTACTTTTCTTTGTTTTAAAATTGAGTTGCTTTTCATCAAAATTTTGTCAAACTTCAGTCATTTTATTTTCAAATGAACTGCACTCTCTGCGACTAACTTATTTTAGTACAAATACTCAGAATAAAAAAAATAGACCAATTTCCTGCGTTTGAAGCATGCCTCAGTTTACGCTTACAGTTCACACCAAACGGTCACACTGAAAGGTCAGAGGTCACCGAAAGGTCACCTGGCTTGCTGCCAAATTGCCAACAACTTGAAGGACGGTTGTTTCTATTGTTTGCATTGGTATCTACATAATGTGTTGATGCATGGTAGCAGTCCAAGCAGGAGACATTGTTTTGCGTGCCAAGTGAGAATGGTATCATGTGCTCAACAATAACTGGCAATAAGAACGATCCACTAAAGCTCAGCCATGATATTTTGACCAGTGGTGCATAATATTTGACACGCGTGCACAAGTCCGACATGCCTGCACATACATAAAAACGTGAACACCTGCATATGCAGAGTTACACGTTTAACAGGAAGACACGTATACGTTGCCCATGTGGGCAGAGGCTGGGCTTGGTGGATCGGTCAATAACTTAACCAGTTCGTGCCGGATGACGTGTATACACGTGAAGGTTTTGCGGTATTCGGAACGGATGACGGATAAACATGCAGGGAGCGAGGCCAAAAATGTCTGTCAGCGACCCGCTCGCAGCGGGCGAGGCCGGAAATATGAGTGTGCTGCCTGAGGGTGATGGCTGCAACCCGCCTGGTTTGAGGTCAAGTGAAAAAAAAATCCCGCGCCTCGTTCCGTTCCTGTAAAAATAATCCCGGCGCGAACTGGTTAAACCTATTCCCAATATTACATTGTAGCTTCTTTCATAAGAATTATACAGTTGTTAAAATTTCACTTTCTGTTCAGTATTTGCAAGCCCCTGTGAGTTGCAATGATTGTGTCGATAATACGTAAAAGCAACAAGTAAGAATAAAACATGTACAATACCGTAACATGTAAGAGTTGTGTCAAATTTGAATTAAAATTGAACTTAACATAACTTAACCTAACTAAACATACAGCTTTACTGAACTGAATTCTAAACCAAAGAATGGATGGAACTCAGTGCAGAAGCAAATGTGAAAATATCGATTTCACAAACTCACTTAAGTTGAATAAATTCAGCTCTGGTAGATTTTGCTACCAGTATTTTGTGCAACAACATGTGAATTGCATTCACATTCCCTTTGCGTGCACATTCCCGTGAAGACTTCGGTATGAACCTGTCTTTATCCTCTGGACATGAGTTCTTCAAAATTATACAACGCCTGAAAAAACCCCAATCGTCTGATTGGTGGGTTGTTGATCACGTGTCATTGAATTATTCCCACGGCGCAGCTGCACGGCAAAAATAGAAGTTCCATTCTATGGTAAATAGAACTTCAATTGCACAGTCACACTATTGGCTGTGCTTTCACACAGCTCTGCTGTACATTAGTAGTACCACTGTCAAAGTTACCAATCAGTTTACTTATGAGGATATATTCAGGCGTTTCATAAAACAAATAATGAATGTTTCATATTCGTGCAATGTTACCTCATGAGATTATTCTTACCATTGCACTCATCAACATTCATTATTTGTATACTGATGAAATAAAGCCAACCTACCGCGACTCGAAATGTACAAAGCATGAGATTACATGTCTCCAACTAGCTGTAATGTATGGACTCCGTGCACACACAATAGAGGGTGCTTTGTGGCCTCTTCTGAAAGCCTCATGGGAAGGGCAAACCATGACTAAAGTATGCACAACTAAAAATATTCTGAACGTGCTTAAACCGGTGGCATTTTCGTGTCGGCGTGAAGTGTCTTCAGCAATGCATTGGAAAGCACCCTCCCAGCGGTCTCCCCCAACTCTCCCTTTGTAACCTATATCCATTAGCACCTGGACTTCACTGTATTACAATGTATTTCTTCACTGAAAAATCAATAAAACCAGAGTGTTGAGGCAGTTTCAGACGCTACAGCGATTAATGCGCAGGACTGTTTCAGGTGCTACATACAGTGACTAAGGGTTAACCAGTTCACGCCGGGAATATTTTGACAGTGATCGGACCCAGGCGCGGGATTGTTTTTCACGAACCTCGATCCCAGACGGGTTCAGGCTGTCATGGATGTCATCTGTGAGTAGCACACCCTGATTTTTCCGGCCTCGCTCGCTGCGAGCGGGTCACTGACAGATATTTTGGGCCTCACTCATTGCATGTTTATCTGTCATCCGTTCTGAATACCGCAAAACCTTTGCATGTATACACGTCATCCGACGCGAACTGGTTAAAGGGGTCTACATATATGTGCACGGCGTACATCTGCAACATACTTCGCTCGCCTGCATGGGGAACCAGCTAAAACATATGCTCTCTATGACAACGGCGTCCAAGACGTCCAAGATTATCCTACATACAGTGCCTGCTTGGGATGGCAGATACCGGTACCAGTGCAGGATTGATACGTGCTGAGGAAGAAGCGTAATGAATGATTGACAGGTTTACGTACCAATCATTCTCTTCAAAAGACAATTTCATTACGAAAATCCAATCGTAAAAAATTGGTAAATGTACCTATTTTCACACACACTGTGATTGGTTAAAACAATGTTACAAAACTCAGTACGGCACTGGTAACATTTGCAAATAAAAAAAAACAATGTGTCAATTTGTGGCATGTTAAAATATACACCACTTCACGGATGTCTACACATTCACACTGTTGGCGTGTTTCTATGACAACATACTTGTACAATTTGCCATCGGAAAAATGATGGTCACACAAGTGCTTTGAAAAAAAATCAATAAAAGGTCAATTTAAGGCATATGACGTCCACCACATTGTCTTTCACAGGTATTAACACGTTTCGCGGAAAGAAGCAGTGCATGATGGGAAGTCTGCTTCAGTGTGCAAGCACGTTGACACTTTCATCCAAACACTTTGCTAAATGCTACCATACCTAGTGGTGAACTGCTATGCAAAATGGCTGCGCCTTTATTGTGCGCTCATCTGTAGCAAGACAATGCTGTGTAGGTAATAAGTCAAGAAAGATCAGCAAACTTCATACAATTCACAGCTGTTTTCCTGAATGTTACAAAAATTGTTTAGGCTTGTCCTTTTACTCAGACTTACATGTATCATCACAGCTAAATCAGTTGGTGCAATCGACATTTGCCTAAGAATACTGAAAATATTTTAGTGAAAATACTGTGAATTTATCCTACAACTGAACAGCCATTTCAACTGTGTGTGAATTGGTCTATAGATTACACAGCTGTTGTTTCTTCCATGTACTTTCAAATGACACAAATTTTGACCCAGATGGGCACACACAATCGACTCTCAGCACTGAATACGTTGCTGCAAATTTTTTGACATTCCTTGTTAAAGGTCTCACACATGTTGAAGTGTTATCAATGTACACTTGTGGAAGCTAATTTTGAGCAGAAACGCAACCAAACCATGAACAATTTTTATTTTGCAAGCTTTTTGTGAATACACACCTGTATAAAAACAAATCGACCCAAATCTACATGTTTTTTTGCCTTTTTTCCCCATCGTTTATTGTTTGTTAGTACAAATTTGTTTCAAAACTCCATCACTAAATTACGTCATAAAAGTGATATATCCGTTTCAAAATGGATACTTTAGCATGAGATTTTACAGAGAGATGCATTTTTTTAGAAACATTTGGCAAGTTTTGTTTGTTGGTTGCTATGGCAAATTAGCATGGTGTGTATGAAAAACCTGATTGGTTAGTGGGTCCTTCGGAAGTATCCATACACTCAAACTGTGAGTTGTCAAAGCTATGATGCGTCATTGGCAGACCAAAATGAAGTTTGGAGGCATCCCGGTTGCTATGGTGACTGGACTCTTGGGAGAACGTCCCAGGTGGAGTGACACTGCGAATGGGCTCCTCTTTCATGGAGAATTGTGGAAGTACAGGGTGTTGCTGCGCTTGTTTGTAGGAATCGGCCCGATTCGGAGGTGGTGGCCGGCCGTCAAAACTTGGCTGGCGTTCAAGATGCAGCTGCTGGAACTGCTGACTGAGTTGAGACTGCTTGTGTAGCTGCTGTCGCTTCTGCATGAGTCGTTGCTGCATGAGGTGGTGCTGTAGGCTGCGGGCTGGCGTGACACCTCGGGATAGCTCATCAAAGCTGCAACCGGTGCCCTGCGCTGGCTCCGTGTGCATGGTTTGTTTCATGGCCTGGAAGTGGTTCTGCCGCTGGTTCTGTTGGACCTGTGCTGGGAACCGGCGCCATGTGACAGGCTGTTGCCCCACCTGACACTGCGAATACGAACCGCTGTCTGTCGACTGCACCGAGTCCATGTGCTGCAGCAGGCGAGTCTGTTGCTGCTGATGATGCTGCTGCATTTGCTGCTGTTTGGCATGCTCTGCAATTATCTTGCAGTCTGTGAAATCGCTGCCTTGCTGCTGATCTAACCTAGCATGTAGCTCACTCATGCCTTGGGTGCGCGGCAAATTCTTGTGCTGGCGGTTGAAGGATTCCTGTAGAAGGAGACCGTCCGAGGCGCGGCGGCCTTCCCTGAAGCTCGTTGGGGATTGACTGCCAGTCCGTAATAGCGTCTCCGTCATTCCTTGATTAACAGGCTGGCCCCCGATCACATGCTGCTCTTGTACCGTCGGAGACAAGTCAGGCGAATTGCACTGGCTTCCTGAACCCAGCTGGAACATCCCCTGTCCCAAACCCTGAGCAAAACCCTGCGATATTTGCGCAATTTCCATCTCTTCCTGAGAATCAAACGAGGCTGAGAGGTCCTGAGGCTCGATGCCAAAGTCCGAGAGTGTCGGCTCCATGCTGGGTGGGAGCTCAAACGTCTCACCCAGTGTGTGCCTGCGCTGGGCCATCAGCTGCTCAGTTGGCGTTTTGTCCATCTCGCCTTCGCTCTCTGGCATGTCGACTTCAACGCCCTCGTCAATGGACGTCACAACCATGTGGTTCGGGGACATGGACCTCACCTTTCTAAAAGTCATACGAGGCAGAGGTTCTAACAGAGTGCCGCTGACGACTTGCGGCACGCTAACCACATCCCCCTCGTTGAATATACACGGCGACTGCTGCATGATAGGTTCCTTGCGTTTCCGTTGAAGCGCGGCGTGTGCGGCTTCAGGTTTCACTCCAGTCGGCTGCGGTGCTGGCTGAACCGGTCTAAAGCCCAGGATCTGCTGCTGCTGCTGCTGCTGCGTAGGGTGACTCCCTAACGAATGCTGCCTGATTGGACTCCGGCTCTGTTGCGACCCGGGCACAACGTGCGGCATGTGGGACCCCGTTCCAATGACCTGAGTCCGCAGAATGGCGTGGTCAGAAATGGAACTGGGTCGCCGGGACCGGCTGTCCACTCGACCCTCGACGGGAAAGCTGCATCGATGGAGTTTGAGTCTCTCCACCAGGAGGTAGTAGATAGCAGTGTAGTGATCATACGCATCTCTTCGCAATGACTGAAAAAACAAAACAAAACAAGATCAAAAAATAATGAAGCATTTTTTGAGCACAAGAAACCCCTTCAACAGTGCACTGACATGGAGTGCCAATAGACTGATTGCATTCAGCAGCCATCTTGGAGGAGTGTTTTGTTATGTTATTTTATTAACAATGAATGCACAAGAGGTCTACTCATGCGTATCCCTGTTGAACAAAAGCACACACCTCAAATATGGCTGCAATGCAAACTATCTATAGTGGAGGATCATTCGAGGGCCATCTTGCCACATACGTGCACATGCTGCTGTGCAGAGATTATACAGGGCAGCCCAAAAACCAGAACGGCATATTCCCGCTACCCCGAGACTCAAACAATCTATACCAATACATGGGGAATTCTGTTAAAAGAAAACTGATAACACGATCGCCCGATTCGGTCCAGTATTTTTTGTTGTAGAGCCTATTTTGTGCAACAAGTCGGGAGTCATTTTGTCCAGATGAATTACTAAACCTAAGAGGGATTAATTGTTATGAAAGATGAAAGAGGTGTGCTCCACATAATAGGCTCTGCAGCAAAAACTACTGAACCGAATCAGGAGATCTTGGTATCATATTTCTTCTAAAAAGCTTCTCCATCCATTGGTTTGAGTCTGGTTTGAGTTTCAAGGTAGTGGAAGTATGCCATTCTGGTTTTTTTGGGGCCACCCTGTATAAAGGGTTGGAGCACGAGAACCAGCTAATTGTCCCAGGTTACATAGCCCCCTCTGTGGTTTATGCACGGAGCCCATTGGCTATTACCTCTATTGTCCGTTGCTGGTCGATGCCCAGGCTTTGCATGAGCCGCAGTGCTTGTTCATTGAATTCCCCGACGGGTTTTGGGATATCTGAGACTGGGCTTGTGACTGGCGACGGCTCCCCGCCCTCCATCTGCATCCATTTGTGGTTCTTGATCTGCTCGATGGTGTAGCGCTTTGCCGGATCAATGACCAGCATCTTACGGATCAGCTGCTCGCATTCTGAAACCCAATGTTCGAGATAAAGATAGGGTTTTTCAAAGCCTGGCTTTGGAATAATTGAGAAGCAGAAACAAACTAGAGCAAATCACAAGACACAGTCAAATCAGTTCGAACCCTGCCGGGAACACGGTGTTTGTGCCCTTGGGCAAGACACTTAACTACAATTGTCTCTCTCCACCCAGGAGTACAAATGGGCACCTGTGAGGGTAGAGGACTGACAGTGCGCAGATATCAGCTGCCATGTGGTTTCTTGGCCGGATCAAGGGAATACATGTACATGTAATTGTAAAGCCCTTTGACATTATTGATGCGATGGAAAGCGCTGTATAAGCATTACAAAATATCACTCGATACTGACACGATAAATGTTGGTTTTTCCTGACCTGTTGACATGAAGAACGGTATTCTAAATCTTCCCGCCAAAACTCTCTCCTTCAGCTGGGGCAGCGTGTTAGCGTCAAATGGCAGAGCGCCGCACACAAGCACGTACAGGACAACACCCAGACTCTGTAGAAAGAAGGGTAAGAGTTGAGAAAAGTTGAGAAAAGTTCAGCAGCCGATTTCACAAAACAATGCGTAACCTATGCAACGCATGGGATTATGGGACATATTGGTACTCAGCTACACAATAAGCTAACTTTCGAGTTTCACATTTCACAACTTGGTGTAGCTGATGAGCAACGTTTTTAAAAATTTGAATATTTTGGATGAGGATAATATAATGGCCGTTTGTGTGTGTAATTTCTGTTCGGTCACCAAACACATCCGCCCACCATTTTGAAAATACACATGTAGATTTGTCGGACTTTCTTCGAAGAGGTGCAGCAACACTAAAAATCCTGGCACGGGCAAAATAGCAGTTCGTTAGCTTTGAGTTTCTAATTTCAACTTTGACAAGGCTCCACCTCATCAAGGTTCCACAATTATCACAATTTCTCTGTAAAATAGTCAATTTTTAGTCGCTACGACATGACTAATGTGACCTTAGATTACCGCGTAAGTTATGGCTTGACTCAAAACGACAATCTACAGACAGATTTTGAGTGTGGGACCAACTACATGTATTTGCAATGAACAACTGCAAAACAGAAGCAAGTATAAGCTAAAAAAAAAGTAGAAGGATCATGTACAAATATGTAAGTGTTCCTTAGGGAATTCAAATACATGAAGTCCACGTACATGTACATGTAGGTCTGATATTACGTTTAAACTGTTGACATGATTTAAAGTGCATTATCCCTGCAAACCATAGCACTGCACCTTCAAGATGGCTGCCTTGGAAAGTGTCTATGTGCATTGTACATTCTAATGTTCCCTTCTCACATAACACAGCAATACGATGTAGATCAATTTACATGAAGTACGTACACCCTGAGGACAGACAGACAGACAAAGGGAGAACAACAGATTCCTTGTTGTCCTCGAGCATTCATCTTTTGTTGAAAACAGTCCTCAATCTTGAGTGTGTGTGCTTAGTCTATGGGAGAGTATTATATTATAGGGACAAAGGGAAACACAGAGCATTGTCCTCGAGAGTGTGGTAAAACACGACTGTGTGTACATTCACGTGCAGATGTACCGGTAAATGTAGGTCAGTATCACTCCAGTTTACAATGCAGCTGTTCAGAGCGATCACAACATTGTGAACATGAATGACATGACATATTTTCCCGTCTGACAAAACTTGCGCCCTGCATGTTCTATGGCCCTGGCTGCCTCCCGTTCAATACGTGGTAGTGCATTTTGAAATCATGGTGCCGCTGTCATTTAAATTACACCCTTGGCGATCAATGCATTTCACTGCAAAGCTACATGACAGACAATACTCTCCAGGATTTTTGACATTGTTGTCAATTTTCTCATTCCCTCGTCCCTGGATCTCCGGAGGCGTATTCCGCGCTGAACACAGAAATTTACTAAGAGCAGAGACTGTTTGCTTTACTTAATGTCATGCCATTGCAGGCATGCAACTGGAAAGTCACAAAAAAGAGGAAATTAAAATCTTTCCAAGACTTTGTACAGTGTTTTTCTTTTTTTCAGTGATACCCATGGGAGGTCAAAGAAGAGGAAATCAGCTGATCCGAGGAAAAGTTGCATGCATGGCCATTGACATTGATGTGCCCGCATGGTTCTCTGCCGATTCTTGCTGAATTCTTGGTTATTACATGTAGTTCTATGAATTAGGTCCAACACCAATTTCAAGGCATATAGGATCATTTGAATTTATCTCAAAAGTAACCTACATTTGTACCTGTACCGAATTATTATCAAAAAGCTTACTTGGATTAAAGATCGTACTGGTAGTAAACACCCCGTATATATTATTCCGTCTGGCTTACTATCATTTACAAGAAATGTATTCCAATGATCAGTCAATTGACTGATTTTTGGAAATAAAGAGTAGGCCTACTATAACTAAGCAACATCGTGTTTCGTGATCAAAAGGTTGTGCATGGCTTTTCACCGTTTTCACAAAAAGTGTGATGCCATTGAGCGGATTCAACATGTTAGGTTTTGAACATTTTTCTTTGAATTGTGTTATTATAAGAAAACAAACAAGTTGCTTGAAAAGCAATAAATGATCCTATAGGGCCTACATGTGCTTTAAGGCAGAGTTTAAATGTAGAGTGTATCATTTGCAGCTATCCAAAAAGTAACTGACAAAATTATTGCTGAAAAGCACACTTGGTTTACAGATAGTAATGGGACTAAACTCCCTGTGAAATAACTCTTTCTGGCAAGCTGTCATTTTGAAAAAACAACGAAAGAAGGCCATTTCTAAAAATGCGTCTAAAGAATGCGTCTATGGTGGAAATTTCCAAAAATGCGCTTTAAAGACGCATTTTTGGAAATTTCCACTATTTGTTGATGCCGTGAATGGGTGTGTGCAACCATTGACACAACGCACATGCACGCGTTGCTGTATGTACATGTAATTCATCAATTCAGCGCATGACATTGCGTAGCTGCATTCGGCTGAATGAGAATGTGTCCCAGACGCTGATTGCGACGCAATTCAAAACATCACGAGATCCTAAAATATTGTTTTCTCGGAATATAGGGCCTACAGCATTCACTGAGCTAAAACTTCATCAGGTTAGTTGTTAAGCACCCTTCTTTAGATTTTGAGCACTTTTGTTGCTTCAAATGAAGAAAAAAATTCACAAATGAGAATATGATCTACCGGTACCCTACCATTTAATAATGGCAATGAGTCTGTATTTTTTACCGGATACGCATTTAAGTAAACCTGTTCATTGTAATAAGATTAAAACAAGCAAGAACAAAGATACTGGCACTTTTGTCTGCTGTATTTTAAGCGAATAAATCTCTCCTAATAACTATCTCAGAAAAATTTGGCCGGCTCTGAGGGATTGCTTGAAAGGGTAAATGTCGGCTGGTTGGTATTTGGGTTAACTGCTGTTTGTGCCCAATGGGACAGGGCGCCAGCCACACATGCCGCAAGGAAAAGTGCTGCAGTCAACAGCGATAAAAATGAACAAATATTAGATCAATGTTGAACAGCAGGGTCTTTTTTTCATTAAAATTAAATCCTATAGAGGGAAAGGAAGCTAGTTGTCAGTAATAAAACTTTGAATAAACAATTAATAGATCAACAGCTGGTCCAGCCGAAGTTTCTAACCAAGTTAGGATTTTAAATTGGGATTAGTTTGATTTTGATAACTGTTTCTTGTTCTATTGTTAAGCGCTTTGAGGAATCTTTGATTCATATTGCACTATATAAATGCTGTTTTATTATTATTATTATTCTTAATATTATTTTTATTATTATCAATAAATAAGAAATCAACATTGATTTTTTTATTCAAACAAAAACAAAAACAAAACAGGCAGCATGGTTTATCCAGCTTTTAGGAGGAGGGGACCAAATGGGAAAGTTTGGGGAGGTTTGGTTGGGTGGTGGCACAGGTTATGATGTGCTACATTGTAGTGCTTTCAATTCAAAAATAAGAAATTGGCTAAAACAAAGTAAAAGCATCAAAAGTGCTACAATAAATGAACACACTTATAGTTACTTTGGCACAATGCAGATCTTCTTAATCTTTTTTTTTACACTATCCAATGATAGCAATTAACATCTCAAAAAAATTATTTTATTACTTTATTCTCGTTTTGTATGTTCTTTTTTTTAATTTTATGCCAAATTCCTTACATGACTTACTAAATTAATCTATTTAATGCAAATAGGAAACTTAAAACAACAAAACAAATGTAACAAATAAAACATTTTAAAGTGAGTAACATACGGTACATGTACACCACATAAGAAAACTATAGAAATACTGTAAATTACAGTCTTGGAAAACATTCAAAATGTAGTAAAAAAGCCAAATTAATGTGGGGAAAACTGCGCTAGATTGAAGAGATTTGGAAAGAGATAATGCGCGACGTTTCTGCAGCCATTGGTTCCTAGCTCTATGGTCATACGGTACATGTACAATGTACGTGGCTGGGATAATTAACAGTGATGGCAGGCCGTGATAACAAGGAGCCTAATTGATTTTCTTGTAAGTGTCCATGGAATGGATGCTTATCAGTTCATGTACATGTTAGTGCATGCACAAGCGAAAGCTAATACATTTAAAGTACATGTATACACCTCTGCACATGTACCGGTACATTATGATTTTTGGTAAATGGAAAATGTTACGGTCTAAGAGAAGGTCTTTTTAGTAATGGTGCTTCTTAGTTACATGAAGCAATACCTTGGGTGACTGTGTCAGATTTAATAAATTCAATCAAGACTTTTCAAATTCAACTCTAAAGCCATTTTCAAAAAAATTCTCTTCAATTAATATTTGTCTATTTCAATACATTTTGATGTATTTATCAGCGTACTCAAAACAATTCATTTGGACATGTATGTAAATGACAAGTATAAAGTGACTTTCCAAGGGCAACACGAGGGACTTTGAATTGACTTGAAAATGGACAAAACTAAAACGAACTATAGTAACAAACAGTGCAGAACAGTCTCGTCTAAACGCAGACTCAAAATGGAAGGCCGTTTAAAGTCTGACACAGGCTAGCGCGTCAATTGTCAGTATGACATAGGGGTCAACCGACGAACCAAATTTAAAAATCTACGTGCCTGCCAATAGGGTGCTGTGTTATTAAGTGTGATGAATGAGCAAGCAGAAGTACATGAAGTATAGGCCAATCAAACTATGGGAGGTTGAACAGCACCGACGCATAGCAACCAATAAATTATCAGAAGCACGGTCCGAGAATTAACTGTACATCTATCCAGCTTGCTGTATCTCAACCTTTCAAATCACCATTTTGCAACCCGTTTGTCACTCTACGGTATTTGCCTCACCATGTCTCCCACACTCTCGTTCCTTCCCAGGTCTCTATCCCCATTGACCTTTCTCCCCACCATCTCAACCTTTCTAATCACCTATCCGACAACCCGTTTTTCACCCTATTTGCCCCATCATGTCTCCCACATATTTGTTCCTTCCCAAGTCTCTATCCCCATCGAT